CTTTGCTTGTTTGATGCACCATATCCTGGTCTTTTGTGAGGACTGTTTGGGTTCAGGTGCAAAGATTGAAAGAACGGCTGTATTTGTGTACATGCGACTAAACAGAGGAATTGTATATCTTGGAATTGCTCCGACCTGTGATTGGAGGATAAAAATTGAATTCGTGACGTTTCATTTTGGCATTTAGCCTATGAGCGATACCGCGCATACATATTTGTTAATTGATTAGGCTAATCGCGCTTCAATAAACTCAAAATTCACAGAGATTATAGCTAAGACATGTGTCTATAATACCTAGAATTTATAGAAATGTAACTCAAATCGTTCGCGCCATGTGATAGTTAGTTCGCCTACACTTAATTTCCTATGACTATGAGCGGTATCGCGCGTGTATATGTGCTAATCAATTAGACTAATCGTTCTTCAATGAACTCAAAATTCGCAGTGATAATAGCTAAGACATGTGTCTATAATACCTCGAATTTATAGAAATGTAACTGAAATCGTTCGCGCCACATGATAGTTAGTACACTGCTACCGGCCGTAGCCGCGCGTATATTAGCCTATGCGCGATACCGCACGTGCATATTTTGCTAATTAATTAGGCTAATCGTCCTTCAATAAACTCAAAATTTACAGAGATAATAGATAAGACATGTGTCTATAATAGTGTAACGGAAGCTTGCTTCAGTTCTCAAAAACCAGTCGAGAAAACAACAACAAATTGGCAATTTTGAACACGCTAGCTAGTTTGTTTACATATGTCTCTGTTACTAAGCATTTTATGCATGCTCACTTGAAACTGCGCACTCGAAACTCCAAACTCGTTCCAAAATTGACCGCTCTTTTGCTGGCGGCGCCACCGTCCAATGACGCTGAGAAATTATGTTAAAATATGACTCTTTGGCGCCATCTAGTGTAAGAAATAGTCATATTTTAACACGTAATTTCCGAGTGCCATTGGACGGTGGCGCTGCCAGCAAAAGAGCGGTCAATTTTGGAACGAGTTTGGAGTTTCGAGCGCGCAGTTTCAAGTGAACATGCATAAAATGCCTCCTCGTAACATCGTAGTAACATATTACTATTAGTATTAGTCTTCAAAGTCCATGAGACTATATTGAAGACGATAAGATTGAAATCTATGAATATGTGAAACTTACTAAAGGTAAAAAGTTATCAAGAGTTCTTTCTTTGTGTGATTTTTTGGCCAGACCAATAAATTGTGCCCTAAAAAAATTTATATTCTGATGTTATTTCAGAATATAAAATTGTTTAGGGCACAATTTATTTCCCATATTGGTCTATTTTTTGGCCAGCGTAGGGCTCATAGGCGCAAATCCACTTTAGGCACCCTAGCCTTGGCTTAGGTACGTAGCCTCGTAGGCACGTAGCCCGACCAGGCTGTGCGACCGATTGTCTATACATGATTTACATGGTTTAAATGACCATAAAAACCATATATACATGGTTTACATGAGGACCGCAGATCGTTTAATTTCCCTTGTTCGATCCATTGCGATTATATAGTCACATCGGAATGCATACAACATGGTGGCGAAGCATAAATTGGTTGCAGTCGTTCAAAAAGCACGGTAACCCCGTAAGTACCCCAGCGCATTCGCAGCGCACTGAGGGTTACAAGAAGGCGATGTAATGCGGATTCATTTGGTTATATCACTGTGGAGGGTTCTTTGGGCTGATACTTGGGCAAAGAAGGACAACTACATGTTTAGCTGCAGCAATGGTTGAAACGGTCTTCTAACCCTAGCAAGGACCGTGGCCTTGGAGATAGGTATCACGAAGTGATGCCACAGATTCTCGTGCTAGCATCAACTCGGGCACAGCACTTTCCGTATATCAAGGAATGATGCAAAAACCGGACCATTGCCTCTCTACTGGCTTGTCCCTTGGTGCGGGTTCCATACTGCTACGGATCCGGTTGTCGGCAAGCGACGCCCCCCCTCCTGCTTCGGAATGTCGCACCGCCCACTGATGCGGGGTTCTGTTAGGGACATCCATGGTAGGGGCGTCACGGGTGCTCTAGCCGGCTGG